CACTCAGCATAAGACAGTGAATTAGTGCACTTGAACACAAGTCAATAAAAAGAAGATCCAAACAGAAGCACAGAGAAAATAGTAGAAAAACAGAGCAGAAAACGTAAGAAACATGCAAAACAGCCATAAAGGCTGAAATATTTGTAATAGAAGTCCCAGAAGGGAATAAAAACAAGGAAAAGTTATATTGAAGAGGTAATGTCTGAGAAGAAGTAAATTAAAAGAAGGTATATTTACATATTAGAATATAAAACAGTTAAAAGCTGAACTACATCTATATAGATCAAGATAATATCTCAAAAATATCATGTACTATGAACAGGGCAAAAAATTTGTAAATAATGATACCATTATGTAAAGTTTAGGCACAAAAATATTGTTTACATTACATAGGCACTATTAATAATTTATTGATATATGGATGTTTGTGTGTGTGTGTGTTTGTGTGTGTGTGTGTGTGTGTGTGTGTGTGTGTGTGTGTATAAATGAACTGGAAGGATGCATGCAAAACTCATGTCAGAAATTATTTCTGTGAAGGGAGAGGAGACCACTCAAGAGCAAAAAATAGAGGGAACTTCAGTTTTATCCATAGAGTATTTATTTTATTTGTAAAAAGATATGAAGCAGGTATGACAAAATGTTATTAAGAGTTAATTCTACCTCTTCCATGGGTATTTGGAAGTTTGTTATATAATTCTTTGTGCATTCCAATATTTAAAAGTTTTTTCCCAATGAATTTTTTTAAATCTACCTCTATGCTACAAGTCTCTTCCCAAGAAAAAAAAAAAAAGCAGTAATTAATGGGCATCATAATTTAATCACTTCAAGACCAGCATCATGTGCTATGTAAAAATGATTGGCAAGTTTGACTTTAGGCCGTAATATTTAACTAGATAATGAAACTCATTAAGTGTCAGACAAACAAAAACTACCAATGATCTGAATACATTTTCCTTTTAAACTTGCAGTTATTTCCATTGTAAATACCACCTTAGAAAACTAATCTTTAGTCGCATTTTTCTGTTCGTAACATCTAATACTGTTAGTGATTGTTAAGAATCATCTCTGTCAGTTTTATTTCTACCTGATAGGTATTCTTTGTGTTCTGGCCTTTCTTCATTGTGATTATATGTCAGTCATTGAACTAGCATTATTTGGTACCGGACAAGTCCTTCCCATACACAAAAACCCCTTTAGTGAGTATGTAGGAAATAGAAACATAAAGAAGCTGCTATTCCTACTTTCATTAAGTTCACTGCAAAAGGGGAAAAAGGCAAAACACCATAAAATCAAGACAAAGTAAATTTTATGGTGGTGAGCAGAGTTTTGGCAGCTACAGAGGAGGCAGCAGTTAATTACAGTTATGGAAGACTCAAGAGGGTACATTTGTATGTACTCTTGAAGGAAGAATAGAATTTCATCAAAGTAGTCATAGAAACACTAAGTGCATATATACTGTATCCCCATAAAATCAGAAGACTAGTGTGGCCAGAATAGAGGATTGTTTGGGAAACCAGTCTTCTGTGTGGGGTCTATTTGAACAGGAGGCTTGGAAGTTTGCTTGTAGTCAATTTATTGAGATCCTTAAATGGCATGGTGAAAAGTTTGGGATTTATTCTGTAGACAGTGAGAACCTACTGAAACATTTTGTGTAGGGACATGAGTGATGGGCTTGAACCAACATTTTAGGCACACTGACAGCAGAATAATAGGGAAGGGAGCTGAAAGTTTGGAGGCAAAAAAAGCCAGTTAGAAAATCACAGTCGAACTCAAATAGGGAAGTGGAGAGGAGGGAGAAATGAGAGATATTTCTGAAGAGTAATTGTCGGGACTAAAAGGCTAATGGTTCTCAAAACTAAGCTAGTTGAGACCTGGTTTTTATGCAAGTTGATTCTGAAGGAAGGAAAGAAGGAGGAACATAAAAGGACAAATAGGATCAAGAATGAGATTCAGAGATTGTTTTGGGGAGTGCTGTTTCTGTAGCATAGCAGACAACTGGAAATTCCCTGAAAAGAGTCAGGGTTAGAGATAAAGAATTGAGAACCCTTATCAGAGAGAGAATAGTGAAGTCATGGGAGTAGATGGACTTACCCAAGGAAAGAGAGAAGCCAGGAGAAAAATAAATCCACGGTTGAAACAGAGGGGAATGCCCACATTTGCTGGTGGGTAAAGAGCCACCTAGCACAAGCACTGAGTGTGAATGTGACCAAAGAGAGGGGATACCTGGAGGTGGCAGTGTCACCTAGATAAGGTAGGTGGAATATGCAGAACTCTGTAGCTACACCACGGGGGTTAGAGTCCCTTCTTTTTTTTTTTTTTTTTGAGACGGAGTCTCACTCTGTTGCTAGGCTGGAGTGCAGTGGCACGATCACGGCTCACTGCAACCTCTGCCTCCCGGGTTCAAGTGGTTCTCCTGCCTCAGCCTCCCAAATAGCTGGGACTATAGGTGCGTGCCACCACGCCTGGCTAATTTTTTGTTTTTTAGTAGAGATGGGATTTCACCATGTTGGCCAGAATAGTCTTTATCTCTTGACCTCGTGATCCACCTGCCTCGGCCTCCCAAAGTGCTGGGATTACAGGTGTGAACCACTGCACCCAGCCAGAGTCCCTTCTTAGTTACTTATTTTGGGCAAGTTACCTGACCTCTTTGTGCCTCAGTTTCTGTACCTGTAAAACGAGGATAATAGTAGTACCTACCACATAAGGTTGTCATGAAAATTAAATGAGCTGATTTATATGAAGTAATTAGAACAATGCCTGTTCTTACATAGAAAATGCTATATATGTGTAGTCATTGTTTTGTTCTTGTTACTTTCTAAAATAAAGTTTGTAAATATATTTTTTACTATTTTACAGTCATATATGTATACACATATAGTCATTCAAACAGTCAAATACTTTTTGTCCGTGTTGCCCAGTAAACTTTTTTATTTTCTGTTATGCTGACTGGCTATTTTGCATCAGAAACCACCTCCTTTTTAAAAAATTTTTATTTTGCAAAGTTGCGAAAACAGTAGTTTCTATACCTTACTTTTGCTAATGTTAACATCTTACATATTTATTAAAACCAGAAGTTATTAATATAATACTGTTGTCTAATCTACAGACTTTATTTGATTTTGCATTTTCCCAGTAATAACTTTTTTCTTGTTCACAATACTTCCAAGATGCAACATTCACTTAGATGTATTGTCTCATTAGTTTCTTTTAATCTATGACAATTCCTCAGTCTGTCTTTGCTTTTGATCTTGACACATTTGCAGAGTACCTGTCAGTAGTTTTGTAGAAGCTTCTTCAATTCAGGTTTGTCTCATGTGTTTGCATGGTTGGGTTGGGGTAATTCATTTTTGGCAAGAATACCACAAAAATGATGTTATAGCCTCCTGAGTGCATCATATCAGGGATGTGTGACATCATTATGTCTTACTACTGGCGGTATTAACTTTGATCACTTGGTTAAAATGGTGTTTTTGGCTGGGCGTGGTGGCTCATGCTTGTAATCCCAGCACTTTGGGAGGCCAAGGTGGGTCAATCACGAGGTCAGGAGTTTGAAACCAACCTCGCCAACGCAGTGAAACTCCATCTCTACTAAAAATATAAAAACTAGCTGGGCATGGTGATGGGTGCCTGTAATCCCAGATACTCAAGAGGCTGAGGCAGGAGAATCGCTTGAACCAGGGAGGCAGAGGTTGCAGTGAGCCAAGATCGCACCACTGCACTCCAGTCTGGGCGACAGAGTGAGATTCCATCTCAAAAACAAAAAAACAAAAGAGGTTTTTCAGGTTTCTCTGCTAAAAAGTTACTGTTTTTTCCTTTGTAATTAGTAAAAATTACGTGAGGAGATACTTTAAGAATCCATAAATACCCTAGTTTCTTCAATATACTTTCTCCTACACTGTCCACTTAAGCTGCCTGCCTTTCAAGAGTAACTTCTCCCATGCAGAAGATACTGTTGCAAATAAAAGACATCCTCATCTGCATGTTTTCCAGTACCTCTTTCTCCACCCTAAACCACTTTAATGTACTTGTACATTTCTAGTACGAGTGATTATTTCATACCAACGAAATCTTACTTTTCAGTGACTGAAAAGATGGAAGTTATTTGCTAATACTTGTTTATCAATACCCATTTAATGATGCTTCAGATGATCTGTGCTCTTTCTTCTTTGTCTGTCACATTCGAGTTATCTGACATCTACCAAGAATAGTTCATAATTATTAAGAGTCCAAAGAATATGGTTAACTTCATGCAGCTGCTTTTGCAGAAGTACTAATAAAAGCAAATGTTTTGTAAAAAAAAAAAAAAAAAAAAAAAAAATTATAGCATTCTTTGATATTTCTTGCCTACAAAAATTATTACTGTGACATTTGACTAATGGTGATTTTTTAATTTTCATAATTTCACCTATGTTGATTAATTAGAATTCTACCATAATGAAGAGCCATCCCTTATCTACATTATTTAATCAATTATTTATTTTTGTAGGTATATATTTACATCAGTCTGGACTTAGATACTTAGTCCTTGGGTCATAATCCCCTGCTTTCATTATTAATTTTTTTTGTACAAATTGTTCCAGATTTGGCCATTAGGTGTGCCTTCAGCTTGTTTTGTGTTCTATTGGCATGTCCCCATCATTTTTTGAGCATTCCTTTCTGGCACCACAAGATGTTCCAGGCTTCTTTTGTATTGTCCCTACCATAGCTCTGGAATCAAACCTTCCTCCAAAAACCACTGATTCCTTTTGTTAGAGAATGATATTTAGGAAACAAAATCTGGATCCTAGGCGTGCTCATTGCTCCTAGGATTCCATTGCTTCCAGGCCCAGGAAGTACCTATTTTCCCAGTTTCCTGGCCATCTTTCTGAAAAAGATGTCCCCTGTGCTTCTGTTTTGGGAAAAATGGGACTTAAGACAATCACATATTCAGATTATGAGCCCTGTGAAAATAGTAATGGAAAACCAATACTCTCTGTTCTTTTTCCTTTTTTCTTTCCTAGTTCTTCAGTTTGGATTCACAACTATTTTTGTGGCAGCTTTTCCCCTAGCACCACTTCTGGCCTTACTGAATAACATAATTGAAATTCGACTTGATGCTTACAAATTTGTCACACAGTGGAGGAGACCTTTAGCTTCAAGGGCCAAAGACATAGGTAAGTTGGATTTGGGTATGTTTTTAAAATAAATATTAACCATCTGGTGAATAAAATTTTAAAACCCGCAAACTTTAAATTTTTAATTATGGTCTCCATTTAAGATAATTCACCTAATTTTTGCAATGAATAATTATATTAGTTTTAAATAATATTAGTCAAGAAGTAAAGCTGCCTATTTGGAATTTTATAATTTCCAATGCTAGAGGATTTGTTCTTAAGTAGATTCTCAATTTGATTGTTTCTATCTTAAGATTATAGAATCTAAAATTTAGATTTATTATCACTGACATCCTTTTTAAAATAGATCTTCCATTTGCTTAGCCTTAATTTGTTCTTTCCTAAATGTTTGCCCAATTTACATGAAGTATAATCCAGTTTTTCTAAGGGCAGAGATGAACTTTGGTCTTTGACTAGAGATGCTGAATTGAATCAGATGCAGTCCTCATGAGAGCTGCCTGAGATCAAAGACTGTCTTTTTTCTATTCATTTCTACATTCAGTGGTTAGCAATCACCCAGCCAATATGTGTGGAAGAGAATTGCATGTGGATGTTCTTGCTAATTAAGTCTTTTAACCTCCATATGAAACACACACACATTCAGTGAGCACCTACCCTAGGTCAGTGTGTCATGGGCAGCACCCACAAAGATGAACAGAAGGGACCCTATCCATGCCCTTAAGGAGCTACCAGTCTGGTGGGGCTTGACATTATTTGTGCTGATCCTATCAGATGCTGTTTTGGAGCTTTATCATTGACCAGAATTCTCTGCCTCATGTCTGATCCTGACTATTAAATCACGAACATGTAGACACTTCCATAGAAACTCCGTTAGTGCCAAGTTGTTTGGACAAATCCTTCTTCCTGGTTGCAACAGTCAGTATTTGGAAAGATGAAGAAAGGACCTATGAAAAGGACTTTTAAAAATGAATTCCCTCATTTTTTCATAATTATTACCTCTGCTTTGTGTATGGAACTAATACAACACTTCTATTTGAATAGGAATTTGGTATGGAATTCTTGAAGGCATTGGAATTCTCTCTGTTATTACAAATGCATTTGTCATAGCAATAACATCTGACTTTATCCCTCGCTTGGTGTATGCTTATAAGTATGGACCTTGTGCAGGCCAAGGAGAAGCTGGGCAAAAGTAAGTTTGCTATAAAACCATTATGCAATTTCTATTTCTAGCCATTTTTTGAGGTTGGACACTCAGAAGACTTTACACTGGAGAATATGGGATACACACCCAGAAGGAGAGGCCTGTGATAGGAGAGGTAGAATTATGATTTATTATAAATAATAACACTCTCAGCCAAAGAAAACACATCCTCATCTACTGAAGAGTTGGAGGACATACAATTCAAACAGGTTTTAGATGGAATCCAATGTAAAAGTAGCAATTAATCATTTTCCCCATCTCCAAATCTCTGCCCACTATGAATTTAGAAATATGTGATATGCTAATGTATAGCAAAAAAGTAGTGTATGATATGTATATAGTTATGTCATTTTATGAGTTTGCAAAAGGAAAGTTACAATCTGATTTACATTGTGCCATTATGTGTAGACTCTGCAGATCTTACATAGGAAATCCGGAACTATGTACTGAGTACCAATAGGTCCTCAGTAAGTATTTGTGGAATAAGTAAGTGAATTATTTTTTCCTGGGTATTGACCTGACCGATGCCTATATTACCCGAAGCAAATTGGGTAGACTAAACTCCCTGGAGGGGATCAATTCTGTGGCATTGCCTCAGTGGTTTGCAAAGCCAGGGCACTCTATATATGGTCAGATAAAGCCTAGTCAAACTTATAACATATTACCTAGTTTTTATTCCTGTACCTTGGAAAAATTGCAAGAAGTCTTAACGTACTTCTAAAATCCCTGTTTGGCTAAAGCCAAAATAATTAAATTCTTATTTTAGGACTTTGGTGTCTATAGGTCAGAGTGAGGTATGTTTGGGGATCACAGGGTCTTCTTAATAACCCAGAAATCACCCTACATAGGCTGCTGTGTACTTACACAAGCAGCCCTGGTTCACTAGCCTGAGCCAGATAATTTGTCCTCTACAGCCATTGTAATTGATCGACCCCAAGGAGTTAAGTGGCACCAAATCAAATCAACCAAACTCATGCAAACCTGGGCTGGGTTCAACTTCATTATGAATCCTATGTAAATGGGCTAAGGCATGGATAATTGAGTAATTTCATAAAGCTCACAATCCAGTTATTTGAAAAGGCTTCTATAAAATTTTTGACTAATGTAAGCATGTGGCCATGACACACTAATTATCTAGCAACTTTCAGTGAGCATACCAACCCATTTTAAGAGAAATTTAAAGACACATTATCTTGCCCAGTTACTTCTTTTTTTGGGGGGGGCAGCAATTTATAGATTTTATTTTATTTTTTTATATATATTTTATTGCGTTTTAGGTTTTGGGGTACATGTGAAGAACATGCAGGATTGTTGCATAGGTACATACATGGCAATGTAAACCACATTGCCTTCCTCCCCATCACCTATATCTGGCGTTTCTCCCCATGTTATCCCTCCCCAACTCTCCACCCCCTGCTGTCCCTCCCCTAGTTCCCCCCACACAGATCTCAGTGTGTGTTGCTTCCCTCCCTGTGTCCATGTGTTCTCATTGTTCAACACTCACCTATGAGTGAGAACATGTGGTGTTTGATTTTCTGTTCTTGTGTCAGTTTGCTGAGAATGATGGTTTCCAGGTTCATCCATGTCCTTACAAAGGACACAAACTCATCGTTTTTTATGGCTGCATAGTATTCCATGGTGTATATGTGCCACATTTTCACTGCATTTCTTTCTAATTGCAATTATCATCGAGAGTCTCTGCTTGGCTTAGCCTAAAACAGCATACCTTCACTCAAACCACTTTCACATGTGTTTTAGATTTGATTCTCAAAACAGCCCGGGGAGTGGGATGTGCATTATAATCTTCATTTCGAGGAGCAGGAAAAGATTAAAAGAGGTTAAATCCAGAATCACAAGGCTGAGTAACTCTGGGAGCCCAACATCAAGATAGAGCCTCGACTCATTCTCCATCCTGCACCTCACAGCCCTAGGGGCTGTCCCTTAACCGTAAACTCCCTGGAGTTTCCATCCCAATAGTTTTTGGTTGTTTCCCAAATTCAAATATGGTGAAATCTACCTTGTTTTAGGGGGAACCAAAAAATAAAATGTAAACCTTTATGCATAACTGATAGAGAATCAAAGCTTTAGAATTTTAACAAACTATTAGATTTAAAACAATGTCCATGGTGACTAAAATGTATCTAATAGCATCCTTAAATCAATTTTATTGGGCTCTTCAGAGCTTTTCATTTTACTTCTTTTTTAACTTTTCTCTTTGACTTAAGAGCCTTCTGCCACTTTCAATTTATAGATCTTTTATCTTCTATTCCACTGGTCATTTTTTATGTATTCAAATAGTTAAATTTATGTATGTTTCTTCATGAATCTTACTTTCTGCCCCATTGGCCACTCTATTACTTTTTAGATTTTTTTTCTTTTTCCAATTTAGAAATGCTTTAGAAATTATTGAAGTCATAGAGTAGCAGAATTGTCAAGGTGTAGAAAGTCATTGGCCTTTGGAATAGTACAGTGATTGCTGGCTCATCCCATTCTTATGCATTAAAGGATTGAAAACAACAAGTGGCGAATGGTTTTCATGGCAGAATTCTCACCTGTAAATGAATGTGTGGTCTTCTCTGAAGTTACATGGAAGAGATATGCATCCTCATCCAAACAGCACTACTCTATATAAGACATTTTCTAGATCTTTCTTGGAAGTGCCTACAGAGGCCATCTGCCAGTTCTTTAAGACAACTGACTTTATATTCACAGGAAACTCTACCTTTATCTGATACTTTTTTCTTGGTACTTCTCAATTCTCCCTGATCATCATTGTAGCCTCATCTCCTCTGTCTTACTGGGAGCTGGTGGTGGGTCACAGTGAGGGTATGTAGCATTCCTGCTGGTAAACCCAGTGATACACATGGTCTCTCTACTACCTGTGACCTTCCTGCTATAACAGTGGGTCAATGAGTTGATACTTGCATGCCACTAGCTGAACTTTATACAGCAAAGTATGAGAAATCTCACTTGCCTGAATTGATGATGGCCTTAACTATTTGATGTTGGCAATAGCTAACAGTCTACAAAAGGTGAAAGGAATTAGTGAAATACCTAGCCATCCATTTTTTCCCCAATTATGGAAATGAAATAAAAGGAATACATACATGGCTGATAACTGTGTATTCATATACTAGGTCCACATTTCATGCTTTGCACTCAGGAGAAACCACCCATTAGAGCCACATTTTCAACTTGGATTTATGACTGTCATTACATGCATAGGCCCATGAGACAAGTGTTTTGTTTAAATTTAAATTTTCTTAATGTAGTTTTTGAGTAGAACAACCAATGGACAGCAGCATTAGCCTTGATAAAGCCTTAGGGCTGCTCTGTGAGATAAGAGTGCAGCAGGGGTCATGAATATTCCATTTCAGTGCTGGGCCTGTTTTTTCACCAGTTCCCAGAACACCTTTCCCTTCCCACAGCTCAGATCTTGAGAAAGACTCTGCTAAAACTTACTCCCTCTCTGTGACAGCTAGTCATCATCAAGGCACTCATTTATTTTCATGTCCAGTTCTAGACAGTTCATAGGTAAGGGAGACATCATTCCAAATTACCCTTTCAGAGAGTAAGTAGTAGGGGAGGCCTGCTAGCCGTTGGGGTTAAGGCATGTTATGCACCCACTGACCATTTGTTTTCACCCATGAGTGACTTGACAAATGGGCCTTCAGCTTGGTTCATTTCTTTTAAGGCCATGATAAAGCCAGCAATTTGTCTTGTGCAAAATAACACGCAGAACCCATGTGTTCTCAGAACTGTGTTCATGTCATCATTTTGGTTTAGTGTTCAGCAGCTTGGAATAATCATGCCAGATGCGATAATGAAGAGAATTTGAAGATCCTCATTTATTCGTTTAATCAGTAATTATTTACAGACCTCCTGCTAGATACAAGAAAAAATGAATAATCATCACCTACATTTATTTTACTTACAGGCTAAGATCTATATCACATGTCATACATTCATAATTTAATTTAATCCCCTCAATGATTCTATGAGGTGAGAACTTCTGTCACTTTAAGAAGTTACATAAATCAGGTGTAGTGGCACATGCCTGTAGTCCCAGCTGTTCAAGAGTCTGAGGTGGGAGGATCATTTGAGCCTGGGAGGTCAAAGCTGCAGTGAGCCATGATTGCACCACTGCACTCCAGCCTGGGCAACAGAGCAAGGCCCAAGCTCATTGAAAAAAAAAAAAAGGAAAGAAAGAAAAAGAAATTATATAACTTGCCTATATTACATGGCTGGAAAGCAGCAGAGCTAAGATTTGACCCCCAAACCCAAGCTTTTGTATGTAGAACACTGTTTAAAGAAAAATATATACAGGATGTATCTAAGAGTGCTAATTTCACACAAAGTTTCAAACATTGTTATTTCAATAAGCTCATGTGTCACAATGTTCAATATGTAAAACTGTTTAAAGACACTTGTAGAAAAGATGTTTCTAAGAGTGCTACTTTTAAAATGTCCTTATCATATTTTTAAAATGTGCTTTTTCTTGAATGGAATTATTGACAGAATGATTGAATCCTTGATTTTATCTACCTATTCAATCTACAAAGATCGATAGAATCTCGTACTTTTGTTTCCTGAAATCAAATCGATTCAATATTTACGGGATTCCTACACTGCACAAGACTGTCCCACGTCATGGGATATGTAAATACCTAAGATACCTGCTCTGCTCCCAAAAAGCCACAGTCCAAAGAAGAGGGCATACATGTATGCTGCCAACTCTAGTACAAGCGATATGGTAATGGTGAGCTAAGTATAGCGGCACTACAGAGAGAGGGAAAGTAGTGAGTTATTGTGCCTGGAGAGATTAGGTTGTCTTCCCAGAAGGAGTTGTGTTTCAGTTGGCCACTGAAGGATAAATACATTTTCCACTTTTAAAGAGGCAGAGAATTCGAACAGAAAAGATAACTTGAGCAGAGGCATGAAAACAGCAGATGCTTTCAGGGAATATAGTCTAGCATGACTGTAGCATGGGATATGAGTTGGGGAGGGGAATCATATGCACACCAATCATATTTGGAACATTTTGAGAATATCTACAAATATATATAAAACCATTAATGAGGAACTGTGTTTATGTGTATCATCAACGAAAGAAGCTGTAACTTACATATAATTTATGCCCATAATGTATGCTTCTTTTTACCTATTTCACTAAAGCATTGATTGTGGTAGAGATGTTCTATACGGCAATTCTGCATAAAAAAGACAAGAACCAAGACAAGCAACTTGTTCCTGATTCAACATGCTCAGGGCTTTTCAGCACATGCCAACTCAAGTACTGCTGACAAGGCAGGGCCAGTTAAAGGCATTTACAATTGCAGGGATGTCTGGGAAGCAGGGTCTTCAGGGAACTGGATAGAAAAGGTGGTCAGTGTTCTAATGGTAGAATTGCTTCCTCTTATAGGTGCATGGTTGGCTATGTGAATGCCAGTTTGTCTGTATTTCGAATTTCTGACTTTGAGAACCGATCTGAGCCTGAGTCTGATGGCAGTGAGTTCTCGGGGACTCCTCTCAAGTACTGCAGGTGAGTGTAGCACCCAGCGTGGCTCCGCCTAAGCTGGGATGGCTCCACCGTGGGGAGGTTTTACACCACCAAAGGCCCCTTCTGGCTGAGTGTGTTTAAAGCAGTGATTGCCAATCTCAACAATGCATTAAAAGCACATGGGGAAGCACATTTTCAAGCCTTCTCTTGCCCAGGATGCAGCCCAAACCAATTAAAACAGAATGTTAGGGGGTGGAACTCAGAAACCAGGTGCAGTCAGAATTGAGAACTGCTGGCTTAAAGGGAAAAACTGAAAATATAGTAGCGGAGGTTATACCCCTGCTCCAGGGACTCAGGGACAGACATTCCCCAGGGGGTTTGAGTGACAGCTGTTGAGGGCACTTGTCTTTGTTCAGTTTCTCTCTCTTGCCCAGAGTATATCACACCACATTTCTAAATATTGAACAACTCAGATGCATGTGGAAAGAGGCCCAGTTCATTTCCGGTTCCACCATAGTAGCCTCCACAATATGTATTCATTCTCTCTTTCCCTCCCTCTAAGAGGAAATTAATTAAACTGTGCCTCTTGATGTGTATATATAGAAACATACATAAAGGAGAATTTGTTGAGCACCTACTCTGTGCCAGAAACTGTTACTTCATTTAATAGTCAAATTAGCCTTCTAAGCTAGGCAATATTATCTCATCTGATGGATGATAAAACCATTCACCAAAAGCTCAGTGAGATTACTTGTGCACAGCTCTTGAAGAGTCCAGATGGCACCTTTTCCTCCTAATACTTGGATGTTATAAGAATTTTGTGGGCTCAAACCTGTAATCCCAGCACTTGGGAAGGCCAAGGTGAGAGGATCACTTAAGTCCAGGCAGTCAAGGCTGCCATGACCTATGGTAGCACCACTGCATTCCAGTTTGGGCAATGGAGCAAGACCTTATCTCAAAAACAAAACAAAGAATTTTGGGGATTTCCCATGATGACATTCTACGTTCTCCCTGTTATCAAAGCCACAAGGGAAAACAGCCACAGAGTCCTAGATGCTTTGACATAGGGACTTGGTAATGATCCACTTCAATCCCTCATCTTACAGAAGGTGAGGCTGAGGACCAGAGATAGTCATTGATTTTTCTAAAGAGATACAACAAAGCTAGAGTAGAATTCAAGTCTCCAGGTTTTATCACAGTTCTTTCAGGTAGCTTCATTAGTGGGCGTGCCACATGATATGGATATAACTCTCTCCCACCTGCCACACAGCTTGGAAAGGACCCTGGACAGAGTCATCGTAGTGAGGCTCCAACATCACTCTTTCTGGCATTAATAAATAATGCTTATGGATGGGAATTTTCAGTTTTCTGTGAACCAAAACCAGATGATTCTTCTTTTGTAAATTAATCCTGTAACCACTTGCTATAAAATAATGTATCTTCTTTATCCCTTCTCTTTCCTTTGTGTATAATTGAGAAATGACACAGGTACAGAAACTGATGTTGAGACCTGTAGCAGCCTAGATTTACCCACTTAGTCCCAGTCTAAGAAACTAGATTCTAGAGAGCAGAAATTGGGTTGGGCTGCTAGAACAAGTGACATTCTACTTGCCATGTGGAGAAGAGAGACATGAACCACCCAGTGAGCCTGGGCAGGCGCAGTTCAAGAGGACAAGAGAGGGTGAGAGAAGCCAAGGGCTCCCCACTTCTATGCAGTGACAGCATACCCTCTACCCCTTTAAACACTCATGACAACTTCCCAGGTTTCATTGACTGTCACAACTCATCGGATAGCTTATTTCCTTTCCCACATGGAGTAACAAGTAAGATGGGAAGAAAGACTGGATGGAATATTATCTAATGCTGCTGGCTGTTGGGGTCTGGTGGAGAAGCAAACAGTTAAGCAACAATTGACACTTTCTTCAGCAGATTTTCCACTTGCTCGTACAGACCATGTCATACGTGAAATTATTTAGCAAGCATTGTTAGAGGCGTACAGGACCCCAAGTACAAACTACTTCAAAATAAAATGCCAACTATTATTTGGAGTTAAAAACTTTGTAATCATTTGAAAATAAGATAAAAATACAGTCTTTCTCCTCTTCTGTTTCTGGCTCGTAATTCTTCCTGCGTGTCCCACAAAGTAACATAAAAGTCTATTCCACAAATTATTAATGTGAATGGGGTTGTTGAAGCTGGCACCATTAAGTTAAATTATGATTGTTTCGTTTAGCATTTTTCTGAAACGTCCCCTAAAGAACACACTTTTAAATTTCTAATTAAAATCACATAAGATAATATTTTCAGGTTTTTTTTTTTTTTTCAGTCATATAGCAAGTGAGGCACCTGGATCAGCTCTCAGGCTGAAAACATCTAAACATGTAGATAAAATTTTAAAAATACCATTTCAAATGCATTGATGACCTGGGAAGAATATTTGATATCCTAAGGCAGAAAGGAGTGGTACACAGACCATTGCAGCCAACTTTCACTCAAAGGGAATTTGCTGAAATGAATGGACTTGAGCTTTCTTTTTCAAAGCTTTCCATGGTTAGGGATAGTGAAAGAAAATATAGAGGCCAGGTACAGTGGCTCATGCCTGTAATCCCAGCACATTGGGAGGCTGAGGTGAGCAGATAGCTTAAGGTCAGGAGTTCAAGACCAGCCTGGGCAACATGGTAAAACCCTGTCTCTACCAAAAATACAAGAAAATTAGCCGGGCATGGTTGTGTGCACTTGTAGTCCCAGCTACTTACTTGGGAGGTGGGAAGATCACTTGAGCCTGAGAGACAGAGATTTCAGTGTGCCAAGACTGCATCACCGCACTCTAGCCTGGGCGACAGACTGATACTCTTGTCTCAAAAAAACAAAAACAAAAACAAAAAAATTAAATAAAATATAGAAATGACAAGCTTAAAAGTATATACTTATATACTGTATTAAACAACCATAATATAGGCACACTAGAGTCTGTTTATTACACAGCAATAAAACTGCATGCAATAGTGTGAATGAATCTTAGTAACGTAATAGTGAAAAAAGCAAGCCCCAGCCAACTATATATAGTATCCTTTCTATAAAGTTCAAAAACAAACTAAACTAAATAGTACAATATTCAGACAAATGTATATACATATAAGTTAAAGATAAAAATGAAGTTCAGGGTAAGGGAAGCAATCGATGTAAGTTCCCAGTAATGTTTTAGTTCTCGGACTTCATGGTGGATTTATGAGAGCATGTTGTATTATTAAAGTATTACAGAGTCAAGTTCTTTGATTAGTGCCTGGCCTCCAAAAGGTAGTCAACTAACATTTGTGGAATTTTATGCTGACTCAAAAGTGATAGCTGGAAGACATTAGGAAGGACTCTTCTAGTAGCAAGTGGCAGAAATCCAGGGCAAACTGACTTAAACAACAAAAAAAAAAATGTATTGGTTCAGGTAACTGGGAGAGTCAAGTGGTGATATGAACCTCAGTCATGGCCAGATCCCAAGCCTCAAGCAGCATCAGCAGGACGCTGCCTCTCTGCTGGCTCTGCTTTGCTTTCTTGACTTCCTTCTCAAGCAGGTTCTCTCTTTCCATAAAAGGCCACCAGCAGTCCCAGGCTTTTGCCTCCTGTGGACTTAGTGATCATTCACTAAGTGATAGTTGTAGCAGACATCTTGGTGATGCCACTGATTGGGTCTGGGTTATCTTTTGAGCTGAGATAAGGTGAGGGGGAAGCCCTATCCAACCCACACAGATGAATCCCCAGAGGAGAAGAGATATTCTTTTATCAGAAGAAAAATGCTGGAAAAGCAAAACAACAGATATCTAGTATACAGAAACTGTTCAAACTTCTCTCCTATTGAATGAGGACTATATAATGAGAGTGGAAGAGATTTGAGAATCAGAAAAGTCAGAGTTTGAATGCAACATTCTCCTGTGTCTTTACAGATACCGGGACTACCGTGACCCGCCTCATTCACTGGTGCCCTATGGCTACACACTGCAGTTTTGGCATGTCCTAGCTGCTCGATTAGCTTTTATCATTGTCTTTGAGGTAAGTCTTCTCACCCAAATTCTTCATTTCCTTTGACATAATGAAGTCAATAGGAATAATGAATAAAAATAAGTGATAGGGATTTTGAAGGTGATTATCTATACTTCCAGAAGTAGTAGAGTCGTACTATATAACCTATTTTTGATCTTTTTATTTTCCTTAATTGAAGTATTTGATTTTTACAAGACATATTTGAAAGCTTATCACTGATTTTTAATGGAAAAATCCGAACTTGCTGGTTCTAAATGTAATTTTCTGGGGCCATAGTTCTTAAACTTTAGGAAAAATGCAGTTTTTCCATTCCCACTCCCAAATATTCTGACATATCATGTCTGTGATTTGCTTTTCATGAGTTCCCTGTATTGATTCTGATCTAGGCATTCTGGGACCATAGTTTGGAAACATTTGGAAAACATCAGCCCATTAAGACTCATTCTTTCTTTTTCCCCATTTATCCTTTCTTTTTATTTTAGATATAGTGGGTACATGTGCAGGTTTGTTACAAAGTTATATTGCATGATGCATGAAGTTTGGGGTGTGACTGAACCCACCACCCAGATAGAGAGCATAATATCCAATAGGTAGTTATTCAGCCCTTGTTCCCTTCCTCTTTCCTCTTTCTAGTAGTCCCTATTGTCTGTTGTTCTCATCTCTATGCCTATGTGTACCCAGTGTTTAGCTTCCACTTATAAATAAGAACATGCAATGTTTAGTTTTCAGTTTCTACATTCGTTCACTTAAGATAATGGCCTCCAACTACAACCATGTTGCTGCAAAGGACATGATTTCATTCTTTTTTATGGCCACATGGTACTCCATGGTGTATACATACCACATTTTCTTTATCCAGTCCACCGTTGATGGGCACCCAGGTTGATTCCATGTCTTTGCAATTGTGAATAGTGCTGTGATTGACACATGAGTACATGTGTGTTTTTGGTAGAATGCTTTAGTTTCCTTTGGGTCTATACCCAGAAATGGGATTGCTGGGTTGAATGGTAGTTACACCCTCAGTTCTTTGAGAAATCTCCAGACTGCTTTACATAGTAGCTGGACTAATTTCCATTCCCACCAACAGTGTGCAGGTGTCCCCTTTTCTCTGCAGCCTCGCCAGCATCTGGTATTTTTTGACTTTTTAATAAGACCCGTGCAGACTGGTATGAGATGGTATCTCATTGTGGTTTTGATTTGCATTTCTCCAATGTTAGAGATTCTGAGCATTTTTTCATATTTTTGTTGGCCGCTTGTATATCTTCTTTTGAGAAGTATCTGTTTGTCCGTTCCCCACTTTTTAATGGGGTCGTTTTCTACATGTTGATTTGTTTTAAGTTCTTACAGATTCTGGATATTAGACCTTTATTGGATGCATAGTCTGCAAATACTTTCTCCCATTCTGTAGGTTGTCTGTTTACTTCCTTGATAGTTTCTCTTGCTGTGTAGAAGCTCTTTAGTTTAATTAGATTCCACTTAGCAACTTTTGTTTTTGTTGCAATTGCTTTTATAGACTTCACAATAAGACTTCTTTGCCCAGGTCAATATTGAGATGGGTATTTGCTAGGTTTTCTTCTAGTATTTTTATAGTTTGAGAACTTACATTTAAGTCTTTAATTCATCTTGAGTTAAATTTTGTATATGATGGTAGAAGTCCAGTTTCATTCTTCTGCATATGAATAGCCAGTTATCTCAGCACCATTTATTGAACAAGGAATCCTTTCCCCATTGCTTGTTTTTGTCAAGTTTGAGATTCACTCTTAGTGTCTCCAGTTATTGCCATCATTACCACACATACAGAAATAAACTGATTCATATAGTTAATTTATGATTTTCAAATAGTTATCAGGATTTCCCAACATGATCGTAAGCATTTTCCAATGGGACTGGGTATTACAAGTGGTACATCTAGTTGTGTATCATCACAAAATTATTTATATTCAGGCATCCAAATAAGTATTTATTAGCTGAGACTTAAAATGGAATTATAAAGTAAAATCTTTCTAGCAATTGTTTATATTATATGTCAATAAGAATATATTACCTATTTTATTTTAGTGTTTAAGAAAATTTCCATACAAATAGTTTGCATTTCTATGACTCTAGCCATAAATAGAAATTTCATCTCTTGTCACATATATTAAAGCTGGATTAATAAAAGCCAAGGTTGCCTCTTGGCTTTGATCAAAAGTTTGCTAGACCTCTTCAAGACTATTCTATCATTGCTTTTTCCTTCACTCCAGGGAACCAAGAGAAGAAAATATTAAGCTGCTTTCCCCTGGAAATTAGTTTACCAATGGCTCAATCTTTCTTTAAAGAAGATACTTTTTAACCCACTATTGTCTTAAAATTTTTCAGACAAAACTTCTTGTTTGGGTTTTATTGTTTTTGTTTTTGTTTTTTATTTTTAAGCTCTGGGATATGTGTGCAGGATCTGCAGTCTTGTTACATAAGTAAACGTGTGCCTTGGTGGTCTGTTGCACAGATCAACCCATCACCCAGTTACTAAGCTCAGCATCCCTTAGCTATTCTTCCTGATGCTCTCCCTTCCCTTCCCCCACGCCCACCTTCGACAGGCCCTGGTGTATGTTATTTCCCACCATGTGCCCATGTATTCTCATCATTCAGCTCCCACTTATAAATGAGAACATGTGGTGTTTAGTTTTCTGTTCCTGTGATTGCTGAGGATAACAGCTTCCAGTTCCATCCATGTCTTTGCAAAGGACATATCTCATTCCTTTATATGGTTGCATAGTATTCCATGTTGCATATGTACCACATTTTCTTTATCCAGTCTATCATTGATGGGCATTTGGGTTGATTCCATGTCTTTGCTATTATGAATAGTGCTGCAGTGAACATATGCATGCATGTATGTTTACAATAGAATGATTTATATTCCTTTGGGTATATACCAAGTTATGGAATTGTTGGGTAAAATGGTATTTCTGCCTGTAGATCTTTGAGGAATTGCCACACTGTCTTCCACAATGGTTGAACTAATTTGTACTCCCACCAACAGTGTAAAAGTGTCCCTTTTTCTCTGAAACCTCGCCAGTATCTGTTGTTTAAATAATCAACATTCTGACTGGTGTGAGATGGTATCTCATTGTGATTTTGATTTATCTTTCTTTAATTATGAATGATATTGAACTTTTTTCATATGTTTGTTGGCCACAGGAATGTTTTCTTTTGAGGAGTGTCTGTTTATGTCCTTTGCCCACTTTTTAGTGGGGTTGCTTGGTTTTCTCTTCTAAATTTGTTTAAGTTCCTTGTAACTCTGAATATCAGACCTTTGTCAGATGGATAGATTGCAAAACATTATCCCATTCTATGGGTTGTCTGTTTGCTCTGTTGATAGTTTCTTTTGCTGTGCAGAAGCTCTTTAGTTTAATTAGATCCCATTTGTCAGTTTTTTCTTTTGTTGCAATTGCTTTTGTGTTTTTGTCATGAAATTTTTGCCCATGCCTACATCCTGAATGGCATTGCCTAGATTTTCTTCAAGGGTTTTTATAGTTTGGGGCTTTACTATAAGTCTTTAATTCATCTTGAGTTAATTTTTTAATAAAGTGTAAGAAGGGGTCCAGTTTCAATTTTCTGCATATGGTTAGTCAGTTCTCCTAGCACCATTTATTAAATAGGAAATCCTTTCCCTCATTGCTCACTTTTGTCAGGTTTGTCGAAGATCAGATGGTTGTAGATGTGTGTTCTTATTTCTGAGATCTCTATTCTGACCCATTGGTGTATGTGTCTGTTTTTGTCCTAGTACCATGTTGTTTTGGTTACTGTAGCCTTTTGGTATAATTTGAAGTTAGGTAGCGTGATGCCTCCAGCTTTGTTCTTTTTACTTTGGCTTGTCTTGGCTATTTGGACTCTCTTTTGGTTCCACATGAACTTTAAATAAAGTTTCTTCTAATTCTGTGAAGAATGTCAATGGTAGTTTAATGGGAGTAGCATTGAATCTATAAATTACTTTGGGCAGCGTGGCCATTTTCACAATATTGATTCTTCCTATCTATGAGCATGGAAGATTTTTCCATCTGCTTGTGTCCTCTCTGACTTCCTTGAGCAGTGGTTTGTAGCTTTTTTTTTTTTTTTAATAGTCATTTTTTTTTTTTTTTACTTTAAGTTCTGGGGTACATGTGCTGATCTTGCAGAATTGTTACATAGGTGCACACATGACATGGTGGTTTGCTGCCTCCATTCCCCCTGTCACCTACATTAGGTATTTCTCTAATGTTATCCCTCCCCAATCTCTTCACCCCCTTCTATCCCTCCCCTAGTTCCCCACCCGCCAACAGACTCCAGTGTGTGATGTTCCTCTCCCTGTGTCCATGTGTTCTCATTGTTCAACACCCACTTATGAATGAGAACATGTGGTGTTTGGGTTTCTATTCTTGTGTCAGTTTGCTGAGAATGATGGTTTCCAGATTCATCTATTTCCCTGCAAAGGACATTAACTCATCCTTTTTTATGGCTGTATAGTATTCTGTGGTGTATATGTGCCACATTTTCTTTATCCAGCCTATCTTTGATGGGCATTTGGGTTGGTTCCAAGTCTTTGCTATTGTAAACAGTGTCACAATGAACATACATGGGCATGTGTCTTTATGATAGATAGATTTATAATCCTTTGGGTTCTTGGAGAAATCATTCATTTTCTTGTTAGCTGTATTCCTAGGTATCTTATTCTTTTGTAGCAATTGTGAATGGGAGTTCATTCATGATTTGGCTCTCTGCTTGCCTGTTCTTAGTGGTTAGGAACGCTAACAATTTTTGCACATTGATTTTGTATCCTGAGACTTTGCTGAAATTGTTTATCAGCTTAAGACGCTTTTGAGCCAAGATGATGGGATTTTCTAGATATAGGATGATGTCATCTGCAAAGAAAGATAATTTGACTTCCTCTCTCCCTGTTTGAATTTTTTTATTTCTTTCTCTTGCCTGATTGCCCTGGCCAGAACTTCCAATACTACGTTGAATAGAAGTGGTGAGAGAGGGCATCCTTGTCTTGTGCCGGTTTTCAAGGGGAATGCTTACTGAGAGTTTTCAACATGAAGGGATGTTGAATTGTATCAAAGGCCTTTCAGCATCTATTGAGATAATTGTGGTTTTTGTCTTTAGTTATGTTTAGGTGATGAATTACATTTACTGATTTACATATGTTGAACCAACTTTGCATCCCAGGGGTGAAGCCAACTTGATCATGGCGAATAAGCTTTTTATAGGCTGCTGGATTTGGTTTGCCAGTATTGTATTGAGGATTTTTGCATCGATGTTCATCAGGGATAGTGACCTGAAGTCATTGTGTCTCTGCCAGGTTTTGGTATCCGGATGACACTAGCCTCATAAAATGAGTTATGGGGGAGTCTCTCCTTTTTAATTTTTTTGGAATAGTTTCAGTAGAAATGATATCAGTTCTTCTTTGTACCTCTGGTAGACTTTAGCTTTAATCTGTCAGACAAAACTTTTAAAAGGTTGCCTTATTTAGCTTTTCAAATAGAATTTTCCATTTTCTTTTAATATTTTATTATTAACTGTTTGAAAATATGAGAAATATACAGAAAAGCCTCTGACTTGGCAGAATTTTGTGCCATCCATGCATCACCAAATTTATCATTTTAAATAAAATGAAAAATACTTAGCAGTGTCATTTGACCATGATTTAGTCTTTATTTAATACTTCAAAATTGTAAGAGTCTTTAAATTGTCATCTAGTACTTTATTGGCCACCATTATATAGATGAACAGAAGTGACAGTAATTCCAGAATTCTAGCTATTAATATTCCAAGTAAAGAATCTGTGGCAGTTTACCACAAAGAAAAGGAAACTTCTTCCTGAAATGATCATTTCCCTAGGCCCACTGATAGTTCTTACAATCAAGATTTGTAAAGCATTTCACAGTCTACAAGGCATTTTTAAACATTTTCTTATAATTCTCACAATACTCATTTTCAAGATGAGTGGAGTGAGGCTCAGAGAAATTAAATAATTCATCCTTAGGTAGACAGACAACCCTTAAGCAGTCAAAGCTACCAGCTTCATACTTGGGTTTTCAGGTACCACAGTATACATTCTTCTGGCTCTCCTTTGAATTAATTATCTGACCATTCGTTTCCCACCTTCCTTCTGGACTTCTCTTTCTATATTCCCTAGGTGGTGCCATCAGACCAGTTCAGGCCTTACCTGTCCTATCATCTTGCATTACACATGTCTCCCCTGGCCTCCTTCCACTCTCCACATACCCCAGAGGCTCCACATCCTTCTTGAGCCAACTCCCCAACCTCATTCAGGATGCACAATAGACCTGACTCTGCATTCTCCTCTGTGTTTTTAGCACCTCGTGTTTTGTATAAAGCACCTCATTTCATATCTGATCCCAGACCTCCCAAAAGACCTAAGGGATCGAATGAGAAGAGAGAAGTACTTGATTCAGGAGATGATGTATGAAGCAGAACTGGAACGTCTTCAGAAGGAACGAAAGGAGAGGAAGAAGAATGGAAAAGCGCACCACAATGAGTGGCCATGATCATGTAGGTGAGAGGCATGCTCACCCTCTGCAGCCACTCCAAGGTTGGGAGGGTGCTTTAAACTCCCCAAAGCAGAGCTTACCATTGTTGCAGTAACAGGGATCAAAATTAAGTCCTTAGAAGCTTCCCAATCCAAAAGAGGTTTGATTTTACTTTAATAATTGCAAATTTTGCTTGATCTTCCCCTCCCACACACCTCTTGCAATACTTCTCTGTCTTCTTGCTGGACTCTGGCCTGTCACTCAAGGTCTTCATGTGTTGGCCTAGGTGTTCCCTGAAACAAAGCTTCCTCTCTCTTTTCCTCCAGCCGGGCTGTTTTCTTTAGTGTCTCCAGAGAAATATGCCCCTTCTTTCTGGGTGGGTGAGAGGCAGATATCAGCAAAGAATTGTTCCTGAAAGCCTCAGCGGCCAGAGACCAAGGTGTAACAGGGCTGTCCTGGGCTGCAAGACCAGTAACTTGATGAAGAATTTCTTCTGGCCCCACCACTACTGGCTGCTTTCTTCCCAAAAAGGCCATTTCCAATTTTTGCTTGAAAGCATAGTGTCCGCCTGTCTGTCTGTATTTCCCCAACAGTTGGCAGGATGTGATGTTGCTTCAGACTGCCTTTCCAACTTAGTCTGTTCACCCATAAAGCAGGCATAAAATTGTTTATACCATCCCTGACTCCATACGGAGTTACAAATTCTTTGAATGCCTTTGATGCATGGTAAATACAAACCACTGTACATCATGTTTTAAAGCAATCATGTATATATAGGATCTTGATGCCTTATTTTCTCTTTCCAGAAAATAGTCCCTTTCCAGGCCAAGGACCTGAATTATGTTTACTTCTCCTGGCTGTGCAAAAGCACACTCAAGTGAATGACTAAAAATGCAACCGCAGTGCATGTTGCAGATACTGGCAGCCGCAGGAGGGTCAGCATCTAGTAGAGGACTGATGTTGGAGTCACACTGCTGTGAAATCACGTTGCAGTCCAGCGCACAATTGCTATCTATCCATAGACCATTCTTGACCAAGCAAGCATGCACATTATGGGCAGTTACATTCTCACGTTTTTAAAATCAAGGGGAACTTGTATACTGGGCCTGTTTTTCAGCCTGTTTGCTACCTTTTTTGCATTCTATCTGTGTGAATTTTACAGACCTTGGGCTAAAAAGGGTATTCAGACACATGGACACACATTCCTAGAATGTCATCATATGGTCCTAATTCCATGTCACCAACAATACAGACAAGACCCTGTTTACAACTTTTTCTTTCCTTTTTTTTTTAATTTTAGACTTTCTGAGAAGATGATTATATATGACATATCTATAGCTATGTGTATGGCCATAGATGTATTTCTGTGTGTACATATGTATAGTCATGTATTCCTACATATGTACATACAAATACAGAGATATATAAAGTACATAGAAATTCCTTACTTGTAAATAGCCAAAAAGTACTGACATGAATGACGAGTTTTCACATATAAATAGTCAACATAAAGCCATGATTAATGCTTGTATAATGTGATGCAATAAAATTTAAAATAAATTTATGCACATGGAATATTTTCAGCTGGCTCTTCTGAAATTCTGTTGTATTTTCACCTCCTAGAATAAGAGGAATCATAGATCTTTAATGTGAGGGGAATATCTGAGGGACTTTGCAAGAAATCAGATGATTATTGGATAAATGCATGCAAAAACAAATAATATAGCCAGCAAAATATCAGCATATGTTTCTGATGAACTTTTTTCCCTAGTCTTAATAGTGGAGTATTTTAAATATAAGCCATAATGAATATGTCACAAATTGAGGATTTGATAATCTACCCAATTTTGTAAGTCCTCATAAGACTAGAATATTAGCAATATCCTACTTCAACACTGTAATCTTCATTAAAATCTCAGCTATCTGCAGTACACAATTGCAAATACATGGAACCAACCTAAGTGCCCATCAACTGAGTGGATAAAGAAAATGAAGTATATATTTACACCATGGAATACTACATAGCCATAAACAGGAACAAAATAATGTCTTTTGCAGCAACTTGGTTGGATCCAGAGGCCATTATTGTCAGTGAAGTAACTCAGGAATGGAAAACCAAATATCATATTTTCTCACTTATAAGTGGGAGCTAAGCTATGAGGATGTAAAGATGTAAAAATAATATAATGAACTTTGAAGACTCCAGGGGGAAGTATGGGAGGAGGGTGAGTGAAAAAAGACTGCATATTGGGCATAGTGTACACTGCTTAGGTAACAGGTGTACCAGAATCTTAGAAATCACCATTAAAGAACTTATCTATGTAACCAAAAACCACCTACGTCTACCTAAAAAACTATTAAGATAAAAAATAATTTAAAAAACCCAACAACCTCTGCTGTCTGGATTACTCAGATTAATGTAGTGATTCCAAGCAGTTATCCAAATAGTAAGTAGGCTGGGCATGGTGGCTCATGCCTGTAATACCAGCACTTTGAGAGGTCAAGGTGGGTGGATTATTTGATGTCAGGAGTTCGAGACCAGCCTGGCCAACGTGGTGAAATCCTGCCTCTACTAAAAATACAAAAATTAGCCAGACATGGTGGTATCCACTTGTAGTCCCAGCTACTTGGGAGGCTGAGGCAGGAGAATCGCTTGAACCTAGGAGTTGGAGGTTGCGGTAAGCCAAGATTGCGCCACTGTACTCCAGGATGGGCAACAGAGTGAGACTCTGTCTCAAAACAAAACAAGACAAAACAAAACAAATAGCAAACAGGGTTAACCTTTAAACTGGCAAAATAATATGTTGCCTGATTCTTTTAAGTGGAAACCTGTCTACAAATGCCATATACTTTCCAGATTTCTTATACAAAGGAAATTTTATCCTTCCTTTGATAATTCAGTGGCATCACTGTAAAACTCCAACTTTTCTGCAAATGTGTCTCTCCAAGTCTTGTCCTCCGGGCTCCCCTAAAACCTCCCATTGCACAATCTGCCCCACTCACTCAGACTCTTTCCCCTGTGCAGTATTCCTCACCTAGGACATGCATATCCATCTTACAGCTTCAGATAGCTTGTAAGTGCCTGTATTAGTCTGTTCTCATGCTGCTAATAAAGACATACCTGAGACTGGGTAATTTATAAAGGAAAGAGGTTTAATCGACTCACAGGTCCATATGGGTGGGAAGGCTTCACAATCATGGCAGAAGGCGAATGAGGAGCAAAATCATGTCTTACATGGCGGCAGGCAAGAGAGCTTGTGCAGGGGCACTCCCGTTTATAAAACCATTAGATCTCATGAGACTTACTACCACAAGAACAATACGGGGGAAACTGCCCCCATGATTCAATTATCTCCACCTGACCTTGCCTTTGACATGTGGGGCTTATCACAATTCAAGGTGAGATTTGGGTGGGGACACAGCCAAACCATATCAATGACAGAGGGCAAGAAACCCACCTTCCCATTCCCCATTGCTCAACAGAGTGTGACGCTTCTATGCAAGTTTTCAGTGCTGCTTAAATAAATCTAAAAGGGAGACTATAGCATGCAGTCAATTTAAACTCATTTTCCTGTAACTATATATTTCAACGTGAAAGAACTAAGGGTAGGTCCTCAATTTCATATAATCCTCTACTCTAGAGAAGGAGTTAAAGCCACTCAGATCACATGTGTTATGTAAGTGCCAGCTATTGTTTCCCAACACAGACATTGAGTAGCTTCCCAGGTTGCCCATTGACTGTCGGGATTTAGACACCAATTTTATAATATTTTCAACAAAAAAAAAAGAAGACTTGCTTAACAACCCTATTAGTGATTAAAACCACAGGAGTAGTTTTAAATACTTAAGTGTTCAATTTAGATTCCATTAATCTCCTGGCAGGGAGGAGTAAATAGTAAAGCTGTTACCAGTGGGTCTCAGCTTGCATAAACATTAGCCCCTCCCAAGGAGGCAATTTTGAACCTTCATTAATTCAGACCTCACCAATTAGGAAGTTGTGATTATTTGGATAGGCTGAGGTCCATTACACAAAACAAGTTCTATGAGCAAAATAAAGGAAATTGTCCAATCTTTCTTTTTTTTCTTTGAGACGGAGTTTTGCACTTGTTGCCCAGGCTAGAGTGCAGTGGCGTGATCTCAGCTCACTGCAACCTCCACCTGGCAGGTTCAAGCAATTCTTCTGCCTCAGCCTCCCAAATAGCTGGGAGTACAGGTGCCCGCCACCATGCCTGGCTAGGTTTTTTGTAATTTTAGTAGAGACGAGGTTTCACCATGCTGGCCAGGCTGCTCTCGAACTCCTGACCTCAGGACAAAACAAAACAAATTTTTGTCCTCAGCCTCCTAAAGTGCTGGGATTACAGGTGTGAGCCACCATGCCCGGCACCAATCATTTAAAAATATTTATCACCATTTTATTTACACAAACTTCAAAAACTTGTACTGAGGGATGTATTCCTAGATATTAAAAGCATAAAAGTGTTTGCCTTGGGGTGAGAGTGAGAAGGGATAAACAGGCATCCAAGGTGCTGGCAATGTACTATTTCTTGACTTGAGTAGTAGTTCTACAAATCATTTTTAAAATAATTTATATAACATTTATTTGCTAATTATAAACCCAATTTTTATTTTTTCCTACTAATTTTCACATAGTCCAGTATTTCTCAAACTGTAGCATACATCAGAATCACCTGGCCTTACCATCGCCTCCATTTCTGATTCAGTAGGTCTATGGTGGACCAGGAAATTTCAGTTTTGAGCAAGTACCTAGATGGTGTTGATTCTGTCAGGTGGGGGCCACATATGGCAAACTACTGATCGAATCAATATCTTATGGCCATAATTTGAATCACTTTAATATCCTGTACAATTCCGGCTGAGCTCAATTAATTTTATCTGATTGTATAATATTTTAGTGAATGACCACCCTGGTGGAAAGGCAGGTTATCAGTTAACCATATGATTCAATACAGATCACTCTCTGTGCAGGCCTCCCAGCTGAGTGAAGTACAGGGTGTTTCTTGATGGATTGGGTCAGTGTCACACAAAAGTCCTTCACTTTGACCTGCATTTTGCATTAATCCAGAAGACTGACAATGACTCTTCCCAAGTCCAGCCAGCACCCTCGCCAGTTTAGGAGTGAGCTTACATTGACATGTACAATAGAGCAACTCTATTCCAATTATGGGCTCTGGAGTCACATAAAACTAAGTTTAGATCCAAGGTGTAAGACAAAGAACTTAAGTTCTCTAAGATATAATTGCTTCATGAGGTAGATACCATGGTTTGCTGCTAAGGTCCCTCTTCAATGAAAGATGTCTTGCCCAAGCTTTTCGGAGTGCTGCTGGCAGACTCCCTCCAGCTGTCAGGCTCATCAAGACTACCTCATTGCAGAGGGTCACCTGGTCCAAGACCTGCCCCTTCCTGTGGCAGCCCACATCAATGACTAATCGATGCGCAAATATGAAAGCCTGGCAATCTTAGGACAACTGTGAAGGGCTCCCTCACTTCAGAGCTCTCTGTGGGAAGATTCTACTTGAGCTTGCATTGTAGCTCAAGCTCCACCTCTACCCAATCCTACTTCCCTTTTCTTCCTTCCATAGGTATTGATCCTAAAAGCACTTAATAAATGCTAAGCACCCTACCCTCCATATTAGAGTTTGCCTCCCAGGGAATCAAACCTGAGACATTAATGTTTTCAAAAAGTGAACGAAAACTCTAAGATGTGGGAATCCTATGGATTTGTTCATTCATTAAATATTTATTGAGCCAGCCAGTTCTGTTCTAAATGCTAAGAATACAGCAATGAACACAGATGTCTAACTTGAAGGGAAAAGATTAGGAAGAGCATTAAGGTTGAAATGAAACATTAGCTACAGTATTGATTGACTACTTGATATAAAAAAATCGTGTCTCTTCCTCTCATCACCACTCCCCATCCATCTTTTTTAAACTGCCTTCGCTTGTAATATTTATGTTCTATTCTGAAATTGTAGACCTTTGATTACCTAAGCAGGTCTCAGCCTGACTCAGCTTTACAGCCATGTGGGTTTCCTTCCCTACCTCCATACTGCCATTGGGAGCTTGAAAGTCATTATACTGTTTTTCCACTACCCTGTGTTGTAGAAAATTGTAAGTCCATTTAAAGAACTATTCCCCTGGACACCTCAGGCAGCAATTTCTTCTTCTATGCTCACAAAACATGGCAAAGTCTTTCTAACTTCCCATGGCCCTGTGCCTGCTTAGACACGCCACTCAGTTGTGTCTTTCCTGGGGTCTTGTGACTGAAAGCTCTACTCAAAAGATGGGGAACAGATTTTTGTCAGCTTTTAAATCCCACAAACCTATGGTGGTTTGCTGCCACCATCCCAGGACTCAGTACATGGTGTTAGGACACAGTAGGATATAGGCCTCAGAGACTTGCTAATACATTGGTGCTCACCTGGTTCCTCCAACTTTCCCAGCACAGGAAATCCATTTCCACTTTAGGGTTGGGGAACACAGCTCCTACTATCCAAGCTATTTTATTATTGTCATACTAAGAGGCTAGACTTTGGACCATTGGTTAATGCTCTGAATATCCCA